ACCGCACGAATTGAGATTATCGAGACGCACCTCCCTAAATTATATTTGCTGTCTTAATTGCATTTGCAAACAAATTATAATTAACACCACGTTTGTTTTATATAGACTTTCGGTAAATTAATATGATTTGAATTTCTCATATAACACGTAATGTATATATCGCATAAAGAAAAAAATAAGTTTTTTTTTTAATATTTTGAAGATAAACAGCAATATTTTTTTCGAGTATGATAATATTATGGATAAGGAATATACGAATTAAAAACAACGTAGTTATAATTTTTGTCTACAATATTTATTTTCTATTATTATTTATCTCCTACGGAGAAAGTGTACAAACCTTTTTTTTTAAATACTAATATTATTTGCTTAAATTAATGTACAAATAGTTATTGTAACGCCAGGCTCTATTTAAAGTGAGCCACATGATTTTAAATGGTTGGTTAAAAATTTAAAAAAATGGTCTATTGCAAATAGAACTCGCTCTTTCTTCTAGTATCACAACTAAAATATCTAAACACAAGTGTCTGTAGGTTTATTCTCATAATTCAGCGGAATAGTTATTCGATAGTGACGGACAGAGATCTGATTTAGGACCGACGGTGTTTGGTTTGGTGATATGGTTTTCGAGGCGACGTGTAACACCAAGAAAACAAACAAACGGGTGTAATTGAGACTTTCCTAAAAAAAATCATGATTGAAGTTATTCCAGCTAGGCATTAGAGTAAGACTAAAGAAGTTATAAATCTTCTTCTTCTTCTCCCTGCCCATTTCCCAATCACTTAGGGTCGGCGCAGTACATCTTCTGTACTGCTGAAAGAAAGAAGTTATAAATATTGACATTAATATATCATTTCAAAAAAAGGTAGCTACCTATGCAATGTCAGTTAGACACGAATACCAGGAGTCATTTAAATAAATAAGAAAGAATTACATTTTGAGAACAATACTATTTGTCTGCAAACATAATACACCAATCAAGAACTAAATGTTAATCTCAGCTGAAACTGATTCAAGACTCACTCTCGGGAAATATACGATTTCCCGTTATGAATAATCTGCTCGATGTTTCCTAGTAACTTATCTCATTTACTATTTTGTTTGATCGATGATACTTAAAAAATACAATAAAAATATATCTGAAAAAGTTTCAAATTGTATATAAAATTCCTTAAGCAAGTGTTTTTTTAGTTTAAAAAAATATTTCTTTCAATTCAATCTAAAATATGCATTTTATAAGTACTTGTTAGAAAATGTTTAGTGATAGCTTTTTCATTTTTTAATTTTATTTTTAGAAGAAGAGAAAAACGAAATACACATATTTTAGACAAGCATTTTCCTACGGCACCGCACGCGCATGCGTTTAATTATGTATTAATATAGGTATTAAATTCCATCCACACCACCTCAATGTCCAGCGTTCCACAACAGTGCGATTTTAAGGCATTTTCTGCCCCGCACAACCACTCTGTGGAACCAGCTATCGCCGGCGGTCTTTCCGAACCGCTACGACCTGGCTACCTTCAAGAAGAGAGCGTATTCTTTCCTTAAAGGCCGGCAACGCATCTGCAAGCCCTGCGGTGTTGCAGATGTCCATGGGCGGCGGTGATCACTTTCCATCAGGTGAGCCTTCTGCCCGTTTGCCCTCTTAACCCCATAAAAAACTATACACTTTAAAAATTATATCCTTGTGTTACTCTGATGTATAAGTTATATTATTTACTACAAATATATAAGATAATTCACTTGGATGTTAATTATTGGATTAATATATTCCTCTTTTAACAGCACATAATATTGAACTTGAAGATGAACGGCAGCTTTTACAATGTTCGAATAGACTAAAATTGTTATTTACAAATTTTTCTTTTACATTATATGAAATAATTACTTTTAGAATCTCTACCTGTAGTTTTATTATTATGCTTTTCTATAAGAGATGTGATTAGAACAAAGAGCAGGAAGCTGTAACAGGGCTTTTTATTATTGAACACCCGATAAAGGGTAAAAAATCGTAATTTTGAAAAGATATATACGTATACATATATATAAATATATAATTGGCGGGAGCACTGCCGTGGCCCCCGATAAATAAAAAATATTAAGTATATGTATTATAGTTATTGCCTTATTTAGAACTTGTACCTACTAAACGTATTTTCCTATAGGCGAAAGCTTCTCGAAGAGATCTCTTTAAAGAGATTTAAATTCAAGTCTTATAATTGTTTACTTTGTATAATATTTGGTACATAAATAAATATTGTAAAAGCCTTAACCCAAATTCAATCACAGAGCACTATTCGGAGTCACGTGACGAGGCTCGATACGTCGCTATCACGAACGTGCTCAACAGCACATTCCGGTCTCGCGGACAAAGAAATGGCTTTTTCATATGCTTTCACAAGCACGTTTTGTTAGCTTATTGTGCCATGAGATGCTTCTTAAACTCTTCAAAAGTACAAGTAGATAGACGTATTTGGCAAACGTTTCACATGTACAGTTTTGTAATTATGTTTTTCTTATATAAAATAATAATTAAAATGTAACATTATTTAGTTTGAAATAAATAATATAATATTTTTATTATATTTCATTTATTTTTAAATAACTGATTACTTTTATTAATTAAAAAAATGCTTTAATTGAAAATAATATCTAAGCATATTGAATGATCGTTTACATTAACAAAATAATACGAATCTTTTTACGAATGTATTTATTTATTTGTATTATGAATATATAATGATTTATACTAGTTATAATAAATATGCCAGCCATCAGGTTTGGTTGTGTGCGTAAGTGATCCTGCCAACTAAGAA